TGTGTGTACCACGGACCTCAGGTACGTGTTACGGGACACTTGTGTGTACCACGGACCTCAGGTACGTGTTACGGGACACTTGTGTGTACCACGGACCTCAGGTACGTGTTACGGGACACTTGTGTGTACCACGGACCTCAGGTACGTGTTACGGGACACTTGTGTGTACCACGGACCTCAGTTAAGTGTTACGGGACACTTGTGTGTACCACGGACCTCAGGTACGTGTTACGGGACATTATATTTTAATTCTCATCGAGATTATAAGTCAATTATTGCTTACTGTGAGTCACGCCTCGCTAGCAGGCACAATACTGCGTTATGAATGCATCTCTTCCAAGGATGTCGGCCGCGCGGTTAATTGTATTAATGATGCCGTCGAAGCTTATTAATCCAATTATTGTACCAATGCCGAAGTCTAGTTGAACTGCTGAGGCTGCGATGTGTCTAATGTAATGTTAGTTTTCATTTATTTTTCATTGTTTATATCATGCAGGCAGCCTAAATCTATCATAAATATTTCAATAATAATCCTATGGCATGACGCTTAGCTTTTTTTTGGTGATTGAAAGTTCTGTAGTGTGTATGAAACAGTAGTATGTTATATATATACCCGCATACTTAAAACATCAACTGCGATTTGTAGCTTTTATTTCACAGAATTAGTGAATGGACAGTTTAATTATCTTATTAACTTGAATTAATTTTTAGTAAGCAGTTATTGTTAGTAATTTGTTGTTCCCAGGAATGGAAGCGACGGGGTTGGGGGTGACGTGGGTGGGGGGGCGGGGGGCGACGAGGAGGTGCCAGGGGTACGACATCTCATCAAGCGCTTCAATGAGGTAAACCATATATTATTTCTTAGATTAATTAATATAATATAATTAATGAAGAAAAGCGCAAAAGTTATTTATAAGTTGTTCATTTTTTCATCATAACCTTTTTAACTAACAGATTACTGAATCAACAACTAAGGCACGTGATCGTATCTCTCACTACACGTGTGTTGCAGGTGTCCTCGTGGATCACGCACGTGATCGTATCTCTTACAACACGTGTGTTGCAGGTGTCCTCGTGGATCACGCACGTGATCGTATCTCTTACAACACGTGTGTTGCAGGTGTCCTCGTGGATCACGCACGTGATCGTATCTCTTACAACACGTGTGTTGCAGGTGTCCTCGTGGATCACGCACGTGATCGTATCTCTTACAACACGTGTGTTGCAGGTGTCCTCGTGGATCACGCACGTGATCGTATCTCTTACAACACGTGTGTTGCAGGTGTCCTCGTGGATCACGCACGTGATCGTATCTCTTACAACACGTGTGTTGCAGGTGTCCTCGTGGATCACGCACGTGATCGTATCTCTTACAACACGTGTGTTGCAGGTGTCCTCGTGGATCACGCACGTGATCGTATCTCTTACAACACGTGTGTTGCAGGTGTCCTCGTGGATCACGCACGTGATCGTATCTCTTACAACACGTGTGTTGCAGGTGTCCTCGTGGATCACGCACGTGATCGTATCTCTTACAACACGTGTGTTGCAGGTGTCCTCGTGGATCACGCACGTGATCGTATCTCTTANTCTAATTCCCCAATTTCCACCCAGGTCGGACAAGCTGAAGCCGTTCTGGTTGAGTCTGGAGAACGAGCATCTGCCGACGCTGGACTTCCTGACGGTGGCGCTGCTGGGTCTGGACCCCAAGTCGTCCTCTCCTGGGCCTCACTACCTCGCTGCCCTCGACCGGGCCTTGAAGATGCCCCAGTGCCCCGTGGTGCCCTTCTTTGGGGCCTTCCTGCAGCAGCTGAATAAGATCCTCAGGAGCAGTCCTTCCCTGGTGGTCCTTGCTCAAGATGGCCACCAACTGCAGGTGAGGACAAGTGGAGTGGAGGACGGGCGTCCTAGACAGCGGTAGAGGGAAGGACGGGCATCCCAGACAACGGTAGAGGAGAGGACGGCGTCCTAGACAGCGGTAGAGGGAAGGACGGGCATTTTAGACAGCGGCGTGTTACCAGGAATCTCGGGTTCAAATCCCTGTAATAAGGGTAATCGTTCCATCCAGAAATCTTAATCAGTTAGTAACGATTGTTAGGCTTCACGCACATCAGCTCGTATCAAAGACATTGAGTATTCAACAACTTAGACTCTCTTACCACGTTTTCCTCAACGTCTTCCATTATTCACTGACCTGTTCGAGTTATTGCCATAAAGATATTTGCCCTTCGCAGCTTGCCCGAATGTTGTTCTCACTGTATGCAAGCTTCCTGCATTTCACTAATGGGTTCTCACGCCCGTATTATACAACACTACTTTATCCCTACCGTTTGATTGAAACGAGCTAGCTCGTAGTTTCGAAAGGACGTCCTAACTCTTCTGGGTTGTGTACAGTTGACCTCCATGTGTACAGTACAGTTGTACTGCGACCAATGCTGTGTTGTATGTGCAGTACATTTGCACCGCAACCAATGCTCTATTGTGTGTGCAGTTTATCTCGGACTACTGCGGTGAAGACAGCTTCTTCACGCGCGTTGGTCCCGGCGGTCTGATCAACATGACGAAGTTGTACGAAGCTCAGCAGGTTGTCGACCAGATCGCTACCTTCCACAACCACTACCTCGCTCGAGCCAAGCTCCTCAACAACAACGTCAACAACTATGCCAACAACAACACTAGTACTTTCCCACCAGGCGTGGGTGGATCCACATGGTTTCATGGTTTCCAGAGTGGATCTGTCAACCATTCCACCTACCAAACGTGGGTAGTTACTTCTTCAGGGGACCACTGCATCACGCTGCCCCGTAACCCTCCTCCTGCCCACCCTAACTGTGCCCACCGCAGAACTGGCGGCCACGTCTACTGGGCAGGACTATACACGCCCTGTACGGCACAGCAGCACAGCATGGCACAGCAGCAGCACAGTGTGCCGCATGTCTTCACCAGCCCTGCGTGTGACGGCCTTACGTCGTGAGTAATTAAAACGTTATTATTAAATGTACTAATCTCATGCATATAAAAGCTACTCATGAATGTTTTAATGCTCGACAAGAAAGTTCTAAATCAATTCTTTCGATCGCAGTCGAGGTCCATCTCATCAAGTTCTCATCAAGTCCTCATCAAGTTCTCATCAACTTCTCATCAACTTCTCATCAACTTCTCATCAACTTCTCATCAACTTCTCATCAACTTCTCATCAACTTCTCATCAAGTTCTCATCAACTTCTCATCAAGTTCTCTTCAACTTCTCATTAAATTAAGTTCTCATTAAGTTCTCATGGCCAGATCTTCGGCGGGCGCAACTGGGTGACCAGCACGGCGCCCCCCATGTCGCCGCAGGAGCCGAGCGCCGCCAAGCGCCTGCCCTCGACGCGGCGCAAGAAACCAAAGACGCAGTACAGCTTACCGCTCTCCAAGGTACCGTGCGTGGTACCGTGCGTGATACCGTGCGTGATACCGTGCGTGATACCGTGCGTGGTACCGTGCGTGGTACCGTGCGTGGTACCGTGCGTGATACCGTGCGGGATACCGTGCGTGGTACCGTGCGTGATACCGTGCGTGGTACCGTGCGTGATAACGTGCGTGATAACGTGCGTGATACTGTGCGTGATACCGTGCGTGATACCGTGCGTGATACTGTGCGTGATACCGTGCGTGATACCGTGCGTGATACCGTGCGTGATACTGTGCGTGATACCGTGCGTGATACCGTGCGTGATACCGTGCGTGATACTGTGCGTGATACCGTGCGTGATACCGTGCGTGATACCGTGCGTGATACTGTGCGTGATACCGTGCGTGATACCGTGCGTGATACCGTGCGTGATACTGTGCGTGATACCGTGCGTGATACCGTGCGTGATACCGTGCGTGATACTGTGCGTGATACCGTGCGTGATACCGTGCGTGATACCGTGCGTGATACTGTGCGTGATACCGTGCGTGATACCGTGCGTGATACCGTGCGTGATACTGTGCGTGATACCGTGCGTGATACCGTGCGTGATACCGTGCGTGATACTGTGCGTGATACCGTGCGTGATACCGTGCGTGATACCGTGCGTGATACTGTGCGTGATACCGTGCGTGATACCGTGCGTGATACCGTGCGTGATACTGTGCGTGATACCGTGCGTGATACCGTGCGTGATACCGTGCGTGATACTGTGCGTGATACCGTGCGTGATACCGTGCGTGATACCGTGCGTGATACTGTGCGTGATACCGTGCGTGATACCGTGCGTGATACCGTGCGTGATACTGTGCGTGATACCGTGCGTGATACCGTGCGTGATACCGTGCGTGATACTGTGCGTGATACCGTGCGTGATACCGTGCGTGATACCGTGCGTGATACTGTGCGTGATACCGTGCGTGATACCGTGCGTGATACCGTGCGTGATACTGTGCGTGATACCGTGCGTGATACCGTGCGTGATACCGTGCGTGATACTGTGCGTGATACCGTGCGTGATACCGTGCGTGATACCGTGCGTGATACTGTGCGTGATACCGTGCGTGATACCGTGCGTGATACCGTGCGTGATACTGTGCGTGATACCGTGCGTGATACCGTGCGTGATACCGTGCGTGATACTGTGCGTGATACCGTGCGTGATACCGTGCGTGATACCGTGCGTGATACTGTGCGTGATACCGTGCGTGATACCGTGCGTGATACCGTGCGTGATACTGTGCGTGATACCGTGCGTGATACCGTGCGTGATACCGTGCGTGATACTGTGCGTGATACCGTGCGTGATACCGTGCGTGATACCGTGCGTGATACTGTGCGTGATACCGTGCGTGATACCGTGCGTGATACCGTGCGTGATACTGTGCGTGATACCGTGCGTGATACCGTGCGTGATACCGTGCGTGATACTGTGCGTGATACCGTGCGTGATACCGTGCGTGATACCGTGCGTGATACTGTGCGTGATACCGTGCGTGATACCGTGCGTGATACCGTGCGTGATACTGTGCGTGATANTAGGGTGCGCCTGTCGCCTGTAGGGTGCGCCTGTCGCCTAGATGTGTATAAGAGACAGGGACTATACACGCCCTGTACGGCACAGCAGCACAGCATGGCACAGCAGCAACACAGTGTACCGCATGTCTTCACCAGCCCTGCGTGTGATGGCCTTACGTCGTGAGTCATTCAACAGTTCTAGTTAAATGTACTAATCACATGCATTTCAATGCTACTCATGAATTTTCTAATGACTGACAAGATAGTTCTAAATCAATTCTTTCGATCGCAGTCGAGGTCCGCTGTTTCGATCCATTAATTTATCCATTCGAATAAACTACGAGAAGAATCCGACCATACGTCACCATACTAAATATTACCTTTAATTGATGAGTGTAATAAGGACAACTTTGTGTACACACACATCGTACGAAGTGAACTGAGAAGCATGAACATTTTCTTGTATTTTCGTTGTGTTTTTTTTGTATTTTCCTTGTGTTTTCTTGTATTTTCATTGTGTTTTTAGCGCATTTTCTCATTTATGGAAAAAATGCACTATTGTACTCGCCATGTCCGTCCGTCCGTCTGTCTATCCGTGACCTCAAGTTTTCGTCGACGAGAAAATGCGCTCTCTGTCACTCACTGCAGTGAGTACTGAGTTATATTTTTTTCTATTCTCATTGTGTTTTCTTGTATTTATGTTGTATTTTACTTGTGTTTTCCTGTATTTTCGTTGCGTTTTCTTGTATATTCCTTGTGTTTTCTTGTATTTACGTTGTATTTTCCTTGTGTTTTCCTGTATTTTCGTTTGTTTTCTTGCATTTTCCTTGTGTAATCTTGTATTTTTGTTGTGTTTTCGTGTTTTCTTGTATTTTCCTTTTGTTTTTTTTTTGTACTTTCATTGTGTTTTCTTGCATTTTCATTGTTTCATTGTGTTTGCTTATATTTTCGTTGTGTTTTCTTGTCTTTGCTTGTATTTTCCTTGTATTTTTTTCGTATTTTCACCGTGTTTTCTTGCATTTTCATTGTATTTCCTTGTATTTTCGTTGGCACAGAACAAACGTGCTGGACGAAGCGTCGGGATGGCGCGCGGGGCTGGGGTGTGGGGGTGACGAGGAGGCTCCCCAGGAGGACTGGTGTGGGGATGAACTCGAGTCATACCAGCCCGTGCAACCCCTGAGCAACGACCACGGGGTTACACTCCTCCCTCTGGCGCGGAGCAACCCTGCCTTCAACATGCACACTCTGCAGGTCAGCGTGCACACTCTGCAGGTCAGCGTGCACACTCTGCAGGTCAGCGTGCACACTCTGCAGGTCAGCGTGCACACTCTGCAGGTCAGCGTGCACACTCTGCAGGTCAGCGTGCACACTCTGCAGGTCAGCATGCACACTCTGCAGGTCAGCATGCACACTCTGCAGGTCAGCATGCACACTCTGCAGGTCAGCGTGCACACTCTGCAGGTCAGC